GTCGCGGCTTGCGGCTCACCAGAACGACCTGCGGAAACTGGAGGAGAACCTTAACCTTCTGGAGGAAATAAAAGTGAGGGTCCATTTTTAGCGAGGGTGTTAGGATTGCAAAGGATTTCCAGCGAGTGAACAAGCTCTAACCAGCTTGTCTATAAAACGCATGTCCTTACGGACCGCTGGCACTGAAAGCTCGCAGTGCAGCAAAAGTGGTCAGGTGGTCTCTGCACTCCAAATAACCGGATCTGTCACAGGATTGTTAGGTTAAGTCCCTTTATGGAGGGAATAAGGCTCTCGCCTTTGAGCTCCCAATTCCTATCCAACAGTCGTGAAAAATAATAGCTTTAGGAAAAGAAAATATGACAACTGTAGAGGTGACGTCAGAGATATGTGTGAGCCAGTCGCAAATTGTCCCTACTGACACAATATTCAGTAGTATGTATAAAAAGTTTCGCAGCAAATGAGAATCGAATTAGCATTTAAAGATCGCAACAGTTTCTGAAAGGATCACCTCGTCGGGGAGTCCGTTTCACGCTCCGACGACCCTCTGCGAGAAGATGTTCCTTCGAACGTTTTTGTAAGTAAGCTTCCTCAAGAGTTTAACGGGATGATCCAGCAAATGGCCCGTGCGAGCCAATTTAAAGCAGACATCCAATCCTAGGGCGCACTCACGACCTCTGACAACTCGGTTAGTTTGAATAAGGTCACCTCGTAGTTGCTTGTACTTGAGAGAACACAAATTTAGTTAAGCCAATTTATCTTCTTACGGCAGATGACTAAGATTCTTAACTATATTCGTAGCCATCGCCCGCACTCGTTCCAGCTGCAGATAACCCTTCTTAAACCATACAAACACCAGGCATGGAAGGCATACTACAAGCGGGACCAAACGAATGCTCCCGTAGGTTTTTTTAACAGTTCCTTGTCGATGTGAACAAACCCTCATCTTAGCGTAAATAGCACCTGTGTCGCGCGTTCAGCTATCTTCATTCACCCTGAGGATGGTTTAAGCGAGGAGGTTAGTAAAACACTGAGGCGTTTCTATTCCTCAACATTTGGAAGGGGCTGCCCATCGAAAAGGTATTTGAAAAAATCATCCATCTCGCTGGTCGTTCTACTAGAGAGCCTTAAAACAACACACCTACTAACATTGAAATTTAAGAGCCAACGAGCAGGTAAGTTGCTAAGTCGGTCAGGACTCTCCTGAAGTACTTGTCCATTGACTTCAGACACGATGGCTTTCCAGAGTTTAACATCGTTAGAAAACATGATGACACTGCAACCCGTTCGACAGAGTTGTTGATATAGACGAGGGAGAGCAATGGCCCTAAGACAAAGTCTTGGGGAACACCACTTAGTGTAATTCCGCTGCTGCACTAGAGTTGACCTGCCATCACCTCATGAGGCCCGCATAGGCCGAAAAGCTTCGTGATGTTGGTCTGTGTTGTCGGTAAAATAATAACATTGAACACCACTTAGAACAGAGTTCTTCATCTTCATTGAAGTCTAGGTGAAAAAACGAGACAAGAGTCAGTTATGGTTTATCAAGCTAATGCTTCAATTACACCTGCCGTGTCTATCTCGCCCCCGTGGCACCTTTGTCCTGCCTTTCTCTCTAGGATTACGCTGACATGCTTGCTCGCCGGGATCCGCGGCGCGCCTACGAATTGAAGGCTGTTGTGGATACGCTGAGTAAGAGG